TAATAGTAATGTATGATAATAATAATACCAATAATAATATTCCATAATAGTAATAATCAAAACCTAAGACTTTTCCTGGAGGGAAAAAACAGTGGTGGCCGAAGCCCGTTGATCCCCCTTTCGTCGATAACGTATTTCCAGATGAGAAGAAAGGCGACGTACCTTGAATCGCCCTTGCCCGTCCACTTGACCGTGGATACTCGTCTGGCTAATTTGCATCTTGGAAGACGTATACCACCACAGGAAGACTCCCCTTAACAGTCTTCTCTCTCCGTCTCATCCCAGCCGGCCGAGCTCGTCTGGGTTCGGCTGTCCAAAATTGGCTTGCTGACACTTAAGGGCCTCGTTACGTGTTCTTGATTCCTAATAGCCGCGATATCGCCATTTCTAATGACATATCCCCATGGCTCATCTTGTCTCGGCCAACTGTCAGCCACCACCACCACCATCGTCGTCACCCTCCTCCTATTATAATACCACCCGTATTAACAGATACGTGGTGTAATTACGGTCCCAAGGGTCGAAAACACTCAACTCGTCGATCCATAATCTCCTTAAACGGCTGTCTTCAATCATCGCCCTATCTATCAAGGACGAATTATTAAGTCCTTGGAGGACAGCCTCATTGGCACTTGGTTTCTTGAAGCTGCCTACTAGTTGAAGTTTTATGAAGTTATCCGCCCAAGTGTAAGGTTACTGTCCAGCCTAGGCTGGGTATGCGGGCCAGATAGTAGAGAGGATGCTCCTCTATGGCAGTAATCATTTTATCAAAAATGGAGCAATGGTCAGCGGCGCAGTCCAATGTGCACGCGGTGGCAGGTTCAATCCACGGCTGCTCGGTCGACCAGCAGTAGTACCGAGAAGCGGTTTTCTTCAGGAATAGGCGGCATCAAGATCAGTGCCCCGGTAGGGTAACTTGTAGCGCACTTGCCCGGTAATCGATAGGTGCGGGTTCGAGTCCCGAGTGGGGCGACAGGTTTCGGTCCATAAATCCAGGTATTCTTGATAAAAATGAGTACCCTTACAGCTATTTAGACAAGCTTCGAGCCCCTTCCGAAAGAAACCTACGTTTTTCGAGTGGGAGGCGTTGGCACCCAGCCAAAGTGCAATTTAGTTAAATTCTTATTTTGTCCTTGTTCTGAGAAGTGGAGAGGAGCCCCAAAAGTGTTCTTCTGAGGACATCTCGTGATCCCTCAAGGCAATTAGAGCCCCAAACCTTGTGGGTGTATAAATTTGTGTGGCGTGGCAGTCAGCATCGGTGTAAGAGGAAAGGTCGACGTGCGTAAAGGGGAATGCCCAGCTAGCGTGGCTGCCCACGGGCGGATCGTCTTTCGAAACCCGAGAAGTGCGATTATTCGACTACTTCGCTACTTTGCCACACCACAAGTACAACAGACGATTCAGCTCACTCATCGGCAGTAGAATTTGAAAAGTCCCACTTTATTCGCGACCGGGCAGCTCCTTAAGCGGCCGGCCTCTCATGAATATTTACCTATCTACTTCTTTCTTTACCTGTTGTACAGCAGTTATTGGGAAAGATGACTAATTTGTCAAACTTCATTTTAAAAATCTCCATTGCTCAAAAAATATGTATATCATAAAACTGCACTAGTTTCTGCACCTTCAAACCAGCTTCCTTTCCACCTGTTTTCGAGTTCCGTTTTCCGATCCGATCCACTTTATAGCGGATGGGAATACGGTGAAAATGAGATTGTCTTACAACGGACGCTTAGGCGGGCTTTTCAGACCTCTAGAATAAACTGGCACCAATCTTAGAAGACAGTAGTCAATCCTTCTATTTTATAAAGCGCTAACTTTGTGTGTCGGTTTGTATGTCTGTATGTGTGTGTGTGTATGTATGTATGTATGTATGTATGTATGTATGTATGTATGTATGTATGTATGTATGTATGTATGTATGTATGTATGTATGTATGTATGTATGTATGTATGTATGTATGTATGTATGTATGTATGTATGTATGTATGTATGTATGTATGTATGTATGTATGTATGTATGTATGTATGTATGTATGTATGTATGTATGTATGTATGTATGTATGTATGTATGTATGTATGTATGTGTGTCGTCCGCAAAATGAAGTGAGTGAGAAGGAAGCTCATGGGATAAACAAACCGCTAACAAATCGGGTAGCTTACAGGATTTGAGATATCAATGTTTTGTAGCAGGATAGTTGTGATAACACTCTTAGGGCTATATAAACACCTGCTTAGCACACTTCCGTTCATTCCACATGGTGCTGCAGTGGCAGCTGGAGGGCAGTGGAGAGAGGAAGGGAGGATGAGGAAGGGAAGCGAAAATCTACCGTCATATCATGATTGTGTCCCTTCTACTGTATGAAACACCATTGTGTTGCATACGCGTCACTTCCAGAGGTGTTGGTGTCACAGGAGGAAGGGACCATAGCGGAGGATAGAAAGCTTGCGCAGGAAAGGAAGGTCCCGGCGGTTGACGGGGGACTAATCTGGTAAATAATATAATAAATTCGCATAATGTACAACAATGACGTAAAGCCATTATGGCGCGATCAATGCCGCTTTGCGCCACGCATTCTACTTTCCATGTCAGGAATCGTAACAATTGGGAAACGCTAGTTGACCCAGCCAATGACGCTAGGGCCAGTTTAGTTAACCTTTGGACTAGTGTTTTTGTTCTCAGACAGGACTGTACTAAATAGACCCAGCAGCGGACTGGAAGGGCGGTCGGCGCTCTAGACGTACGACCGAGGATTTGATCTCGAGCCGCCACGCCTTCTGTGAGCAGCGCCACTTGCTTTTCTACACCACTCAATTTCACTATGTAGCATAAAATGGTAGTACCATAAATAGGGCTATGTCCACGCCTGCGCCTTACTGATATGGACCATCGTCTCCTGAACTTAGCCCAACGCAAATTGGCGCCATTGGCGCCGGATACGCCCACCTGTCGCGTCTGGGACCTCTTATATCGTTTAGCAGACGAGCAGGACGAGAGAGCGAAAGAGAGAAAGCGTGAGCGTTCGACGAGGGCACGGCACCGATGAGAGCACATCAATTTGCCCAGACTCTGGGAAGGGAGGGGCTCCGGGTTATTTTCGGGTTCCAGTCGTTTTTCTAGAGCCATTGGGAAGCGGTTCAAGTTTGACCAGCGATGTGGGGTTTGCAGGTGCAGGGTAATAGACGCGCTATTTTTTTCAGAAGGAGATGTGCATTATCGTTTTGGAGAACTTGTGGAATTCTTATAATTTCCTAAAGTCATGAAGTCAAAATTCACTAGTCGAGCTAGAGGGTATTTCCCTGCTCTTGAAAAAGGTCCCCTTCAATCTTCAATCTATTGCTACTTCCTTCGATATCTTTCTTGCTGAAAAATCAGTCAGTTATTGGAGGCCAGCGCGAGTCCATTTGTTCCTTTCATATTTGCGATTGACCAGTGATACCTACAGTATCATCCGGATCTATTAAAGCCTTTTTTATTGGGCAAAGGTAAAGGAATTATAACAGCTTTTATTTCAATCAAAGGTTTTTGTTTGAAACTAGATATGCCCTTTTCAATTTGAAGTTTCGGATTTCAAAATCGGCGGTAACTTCCCGAACAAACCAACGTATAAATGTAAGACCTATGCATATGTGGCCGTAACAGGCAGCGATTGTTCTCAAGATCACCCCATAAACCTCTCAAGGTCCCTGTCGTCACTTCTGGACTTGGCAGCTCTTCAACTGGCACGCAAGCACCTGAGCGCCACACAACACCTCGTCACCGTCGAGGTGACGGAGGCGCACGCGACAGATGCCGTCCGGTGGCGCCGGCCGTGTGGGGAGATTCGGTGGCCAAGTGATTGATCGCCATTTAATTACTACCTTGTCGTGACATCTGCATTACAAACTGCTGTCGTTCGGTGAACATCACCTATTCGAATGGCCATTACCCACTTGTCATCGTCAGACGACCATTTCCCCCTCACACACACACCCGTGTCAACGACCACCCATTTGTCACACTCGACGCCCCTCCTCACACCACCAACTACAACTTTTGTTTACTAGCCTGTGCAGCTTTTCTAGATAGATACCCATCGTTTTATTATTTTTCTGAGCTTCTGGGTACATTCCCTTGGGTAGGTTGAGAAGTTGGCTATCTATGTCTAATCAAAAACAAGTCAAAATCAGTTAAATATCTAACTTTTTATCCTTTCCCCTCTACCTTTCATTCATTTCATATTGAAGCTCTGAATATTCCTCTCTCCGCCTGAGACGGTCTTAGGACTGTCGATCTCCTCTGAGCGAACTCTTTGTTTCTTGAGTTCATTTAGTTCGCTTTGTAATTGCTCTTGCTATGATCTTTCTACGTACATAAAAAGCAAATAAGTAAGTAATTAAGTAAGTAAACAAATAAATAAGTCAACCAATAACTGAATAAATAAATAAATCGAAGACGCATCAATCAAAATGATCTGAGATGCCGGAAACCTCTGCCAAACAACTCTTGAGCCCAAATCTCGTCCTTCCCGAGCAGAAATGCTAACCACTATGCCACTTAGCCCATGTTTCACATTCAAAATTTGTTCCTGGAGCAAATCGGAACTTGGCCCAAGATACTTTAACTATAAGGCCGAATATCCGGGGGCGGAAGTGGTGCAGTGACAAGTGGCGCGCTCACTACCACGCGAGCGGTCCGGGATCAAATCCTGGGTCGTGAGTCGCCCGGGCCAACCAAGCCTTCCATCCCTCCGGGGTCGGTTAATTGGTACCAGACTTGTCTGGGAGGATAAAAACACTGACTTGAACATCGGCTGGCCCCCGCAAGTCATTGTATAGGCCACATCGCATTCAAACGCCACTACGAATGTACAAATGGAAGTAGAATGCGTGCCGCATCCCAAAAAGGGATTGATCAACGGCAAATGCTTTATCCTTTTTTTTTTCCACTAATCTACTTATCCCAGGTCCGCTTTTCAAAGGCAGCCTTTAGAGGACTCTCATTTCACTACGAGGCTCATAATTTCTGGTATGTCTCTGAAAAATTTTGGAAAGTTGTGGATTTCATTTTTTGTATAGAGCTTGAGCCTAAGTTCCGGTCATTGTGCCTCATTGGGCTAAATATAGTGCGGTGGCGATTGCAGAGACATGTAGAAGTACGAGTGGGCACAGAATCCGAGCGGATGGGGGTGCCAACACATTTGAAGGGCCCTTTCCGACGTGTCAATGGTCCCAAGCACACGCAATCATCCTCACCGCAATACATGCTACATCCACACACACTTGCACACATGTCCATCGTTTTGCAACCGCCTCCGCTTCGATCTGATCGCCGACCAGCTGATTGTTTATTTATATTTATTTTGCATCCCTGGTTTGCAGGAACAACAATGTTTTGAACAAACAGATAAACAACTTGCTGAATCACTTAACCAATTAGAAGCTTTCCAACAAAGCTTTCTGATTTCGCAAAAACTACTGCAGTTCAAACCGCATATCTATAACTCGTAAATCTCTCTTCACGTTTCTTCTAGGAATAACATCCCCCTTGCCAAATATGCCCTTTTATATAGTTCAACCCTCGTGACAAAGTTTGTTAATGGGTCCAAATGAGTTCCATTTTCACTCTGCTGATTCTGTACGATTGTTCAGTAGTGAATGCTCCTGCCAGAGGCTGAATTGGTAGGATTTGATTCGTATCATTTTGATGTACGTTGGGTAAAATCTGTTCACTTGACCATCTGATCTCAATTTTATGCTCATGAATTGGCCAGCTGTTCCAAACCGGCGATTTCGGCGAAGCAGGAAGAAGTGCGTTGTTTCGCTTCAAAATCCTGTTGTCATTCGTAGGAATATAATTTCGGGGTATAGAAAATTATTCGCTTACTTTCAAGTATCACATCTGTTTCAACCTCAGTTTCATTTGCTGTTACATTTACATCCGCTAGCTGATGTTAGACACGTTTCCATAATATTTAATACAATGTAGTAATAGTATTCAATCCCACAGTATTAATTTTCAGTATTTTTGTTATTTTCAATAGTAATAGTATAATAATAGTAGTAATATAATTTTATAATTTTCAATAATAATAATATAATTTGATATAATATAATAATTGTTAGTAAGACATGTCAACGGGATTCGATCAGGGTCAACTATCACAAATGGAAATGAACGACGCTCTATGTACCACTAGTAGTGGGGTCTCCAAACACGACCCCTCCCCCTAACGAGATGCTTTCCTTGGGTACCCCCCAGGAGGCCCGTCGCGCGGCAAGAAGGCCGAGTCAGCGGACGAGTCGCGCGCGTATTAGGGAAATCGCGTCAAGTTAAATAGAATGTCCCATTGCACGTCCTTCATCGCACATCACGCGCCGCGACTCGTCCGCCGACTCGGCCTTCTTGCCGCGCGATGGGCCTCCTGGGGGGTACCCGCTTTCCTTACTAAGTGTCTATGTACGAGGGTATCATCTTTCACATTGCCGCAATTCCGGTCCGCCGAAAAGCTTATAAGTCGCTGCTGACGGAAAAAGTACGCGGCTCTAAAGCGGCAAAGTCTTCCAACTTTAGCTGAATCTCGCGAAAACTCTTCTAAGGTACCAGAGATCACTTTTTCTACACACCAAAATTTCGCAATACGCCACTTCCCTCTAGATTCACAACAATTGGAGAAACTCGCGCGGGACGTTCCACTAGACGGCTAGACCCCAGGTTCGTTGTCCCAGTAGTTTCCGTTCATTCCTAAAGGACCTGGTAACAATAACTCAATGATGGTGTAATTTACCAGGCCTTATGTCCAATGCACATGAACCTAAGTAAAGAACGACACGGAAATGGTCAGCCAGTACCGTTCCACGCATCTGGGGACTAAGTCCCCGAACCGAAAATCATTCAAAGCTACACAAAATCTTCATCCAGTGAGCCATTTGCAACAGCTTATTGGCACGTGACTTCCTCGGAAGCTAAAGCGCAATTCCGAAAACTGCTATGACTCCACATAGAGGCTTAAAGAGAGGGATTATGATAGATGACGTGCAGCAACGAGCTATATTCACCAGTGGAGACCTTAGTCGGAAGCTAGGAAAAGCACGATATGTCATTTTCGCGGCCTAAGGTGCGTTAGTTACAGCGCATCAAGCCTGCCCATCCTTTCTGTACTCCGCCTCTGCCTGTGCTCCACCCACTCGTGTCTTGCCAGCAGTCGCATCGTTCAATCGTTCGAAATAGGCCCGTATCCTATTGCTTTTCCGAAGGGTGCGCTATCAATCAAGGCATGAAGTTCGTTGGCATGGTGGTGGCTAACGGGGTAAGGCGTGCAAAAACCCTCACTTGGTTGCCGGCTCGTCCATTACCGGAGGTCCCATTTTGCGCGTTTTTGACAGTTTTTTTCTTCTTTTACACGCCGCATTGCGCCATTATTCAGGCAATTCACATGCCCAATCCGACCCAATGCTGCCATAATTCCTCGCTTCGAGGCGTGATGCATCTTAGGAGCGCGTTGGTCGGTGCTGGACGATATTATTTATTTATTTGTTTATTTATGACGTCACATAAGGCACACGTGAGACAGCAAAACAACAGCACAGTATAACAATTCACTATAACTAAGAGTAACTCAACAAAACTTTTAGCGAGGCGTTTGAAGTGCATAAAAGCAGGAGAGAGTAGTGCTACTTTTGATTTAAGATGAAAATTGATCCCGCTCTACAGGTGAAGCTGCAGGGCTTCGAATTGGTTCGAGGCGTTCCGTATTGAAATTTTAAAGCTTTCCTCTTTTCTTGTGAATGATTCCACAGTTGTGATGGCGTAATGCAACCGCAGGTTGTAATCGTGATCAATTCAGTTTGATGCGTCGGTCAGTCAGATTCCGGCAGGGTGTAGGCTGTTCTTATAGCTAAGGTTGAAGTGAAGATGATGAATGAGCTTCGATAAACTCATGGATCATCTCGCCATTACAGCAATCCCGTCAACATCGTCGATCTCCTATTGCTCTTGGTCATTACTATTATACTTTTACTCTCAACTATTTGGAATACTAGTCTTCTAACATGTTCAGCCGAATTTCCGCACTCTGTCAGAGCCAATTCAGGGGCTCAGTCTTCGAAAGTGTAGACCTAAATAGCTCCTAGGACTCGGCTATTACTCTACGTTGGGCAGATCTGGGACATATTTCGGATATCTACTCTGACATGGGTTTAGTTGTTCCCAGGCACTTTACAATCGTACACACGCCGGTTTTTTGCCCGTATGGCGGGCTTCGTAGTGATGTAAACGATGAGAAAGTTTTTTGTAGGGATGCATAGCTCATTGCGAGTTGATTCATTGGTAGTTTCTGCACTGTCTACGGATGATTACTATAACTTCGCTCATCGAATGACTGGCAAACTAGAACGGTAGAGCATTGCAAATAGAAGGCTCCAGAAGTACTAACAAGGAAGGTCTTTCAGGACATGGAGCGTTTTTTCAAATGGTTTTCTGAATGTTGTAGAGGCTCATGTGAGGAACACAGAACCATGGTCCATTTTTCCTGAACGCCCCCAGGAATGTCAAAACAGCGGGGAAGAAATGGTCCAAAGTTCGATCCTCCGTGATGACAAATTTTTGCAATTTATGTTGGCGCCTCCAAATTGCCGCAAAACACGACAATGACATCTATTCTCGACGATGGCGCCATTTGGCGGCAATCTGGGGCGCCAAACTATATTGCAAAAATTAGTCATCACCGGGGATCGAACTCTGGACCATTTCTTCACCACTGTTTTGACATTCCTGGAGGCGTTCAGGAAAAATGGATCATGGTTCTGTGTTCCTCGCATGAGCCCCTACAACATGCAGAAAACCATTTCGAAAAAGCGCTCCATGTCCTGAAAGACCTTCCTTGTTGGGGTTAATTGAACTTGACTCCTTCTGAGGAGAGATTTGATTTTTACTCCGAATATTACTATAGGCACTTGGATAAGTTTACAGTTTAGTTCATTAGATTGATATTTTACAATTTTCCAAAGGGGAGAGAGAAAGTGGGAGGGGAATGACTCGAAGGCCTAGTTTAGTATGCGTTACCTTGTTTCACCCCATCTGGGAATTGGAAAGAAAACTTCAAAATATTATCACTTCAATTTTGCATCATGTGCAAAACAGCTATCGCTAATTGTTACAAGCATACTGAAGCTATGGGCGAAAAAGGCTCTGGAGCCGGAATTGAACCTAGAGCCAGGGTGAGTCAAAAATCTCACGACCCCTCTCCCTTTGGGGGTCCCGATACGACCTTCTCCTCCTCATCCCTCATCTCCACCCTCACCCGTGGCCGATTTATAGTTGCAACAGTATTTAATTCTGAGATCATCTGAGGACCAGAACTATCGATATAGCTCAATTCCGCCCACTTTTCCTCCTCCATGCTGCCACTCGTGCCGGTTTAGGGGGCGAGGGAGGGAGGGGGCCGCGTAAACATGGCGTTAAATATGGTCAAAATCTCTCCAATTTTTCCTACTTCTGCTCTTTGATTGAAGATTCTCCACGTATTACTACTTATGAAGTGTACTTATAGAATACTTATGAAGTGAGGTGAGCATTTCTTAGGTGATACTAATACTGCTTTAGTTGTTATTTCCATGAAAGATTTGTGAAAGAGAAGGTCTAATCAGTAAGGGCTGTATTTAGACGGAGCCTTGTGTCTTAGGATCTGCGAATTTCGGTGCCATGTCTGTGCCTCTGATTAAACTCTGTTTACTGTTTGGATTCCACGATACACCTTTTCCTATTCTAATAACACTTTTCATTTCAGAAGTGCAGACTGGACTGTTTGTTTTAGAGTAGCACATTTGGTATATGTAGGTATTGTGTTTACTTTCAAAGGAGAATCTAGCATGTCCCAGCGTTTTTATGTGTCATGCGGTCTTCCAACCTCAGAAAAAAAGGCGAAAACGTAAAAGAATACCTTTTTAAGTTGCAAGAATGAGCTCCATTCGAAGCACATCAAAATGTTATACATACAACAGACATTTTTGTGCTCCAGGCCGAAAAAGCTATCGGTGGGATGATATTACTGGGGGGGAGGGGGTGTAGAGCTGGGTGAGTAAACCAGCCCTTTTGGCGTTTCTGCCGGGGCCGTATGCTGAATGTTGGGAAGGGGCTGGGCCCCGAGGTTGACGGACTACTTGAACGAAGTGCTGCAGCTAGGTCCAGCAGCTCCACCAAAGGAGCTGGTTTGCTTACCCATGGACTAAGCCTTGGAGAGAGAGATGGACCTGCTCCTTCTCACATATGGCACTCCGTTTGCTCTTCAGTACTGAAGATCAGAACCACAACGCGCTCATGATGCTTACTCGCCTGCATTTGAAATTATCATTTTCTGATAAAACAATGTGTGTGGATGTGGGGTACTCTAAAAGCCACTATTTCACCCGCGTGCCGCTGCAGTGCGTCCAAAAGACATGGTCTTTTTGTCCAGAGGAAACGGAAATTCCCTTTTTTTTCAGACCGCGAGTGGGAAAAACTTCAGGTGGTAGATGACCAGGTTGCCAAAAATCCCTTAGTTGATTGACATCAGGATCTGTGGAATGTGGAACAGTCACCGGCTTGTCAAAAGCGCAGTACAAATGAGCCGCTCAGGATATTATCGTATCCTTGTATTAGAGGGGTAAAGAAGTGCTATGGGTAAGAAGCAGTGCCTCCCCCCTAAACTCCATACTCCATTTTCATCGAAGCTATCTGGCCGTCTCATAATTCTAAGATTATGCGATCTTGAACTCCTTGTGGTGGCTGCGCTTGTTTCGAAATGGCTCTCTATTAGGGCAGGTCATACTTCGCGAAACAGCGGATTTGCTACTATCGATTCGCGAATCTCTTGACACAGCCTTACCAGGGCTTCGTTTTTTCTCCTTTAACAGTGCAGCTGTCAGTTTTGCTCGCAGATAAGCTGGCTATTGTGGGGGTGGGGTTATGGCTTCTGGAATCGGTAGCCGTCTAGCGATCAAAACAACCTTCAAGTGAAGTTTTATTTTTGGCAGATATTGGGTCAGCTGTTGAAGCTGTTGCGAAAATAGCTCAGCTGGGTAAACTTTTTGGAGATTTATTCGGGGAGATTGGTTACGACAATGAACTTCAGAATAAGGGTTTTCCTTTCCCTCTCTACTATCAGTCCACTTCGCACTTCTACATCCACATCAACTTGATCGGGGGCTTTTGAAAGAATTTTCATGTAAATAAACCTTTTCACGACCCAATTATTCGTCCTTCCTTGCCAATCCATCTACTGGCTCACAATTGAATTGCACTATATCACAGCTAATTCATTTGAACTTCAATTTCAAATCCATGTCTTCTGATGGTCGATTGTAATCCGTTGTTTACCAAGTACGGCGGCCGAGCACTTTGGAAAATGAGAGTCGATTTTTTGTCGGACGAATGGCGAACTGACACTCTGAAAAACCCCGTACCTGTGTTTTCGAGTGCATTTGATCTGGAAGAAGGACATGGTGAAAAGCAAATGTGCGGATTAAGTGGGCAAACATACCGCCGGTCGCATTCGCCTCTCAGATCCCCGGCCCCGTCTTCGCCCTGTGCTCGATCCCCTTCGCATTGTGTGGTGTGGCGCGAAATTTCAATCCTATTTCTCTCAGGATGCTTGATTTTCAACTGCGGACGACATCGTCATGATCATCGCCGTTCTTCTGCTGCCCACAGCAGTGGCAGCACTATGTTCCGATACCGCCACCTGCATCAGTCGAGTGCGGGAGATCGTTGCGGCTCCGAGAAAGTGAGTTCCTCGAGGAGTACCGTACCTAGAACCTGAAATTTTACTTGACTCAACCATCCTGTTCAGATTTTGGTTCGGAGAGCAGCGGCGGTCCCTATGTCAAGGTCGTAATGCCGATCCGGTGGACTGCTTTGGACCACCACATCTGAGCGCCTTCCACTCGGTGGGAAGTCGTCTGTTTCGTGTCAGGACCTACCATGCAGCCTATTTGAGGAATCTTCAAATTTTCCCTCGCGTCGTCACATTTCGAGCACATTCAGGTTGGTGCTGCACAGGTCTAAGGGCTCTTTGAAGGACTCAAAGAGTTTGTTTAGGTGAATATCGGGCGTGCGATCATGATTTCCGAGCTGGGAACGGGAGCGTCCAGATTGTGAGGCAGACCCGACATGTCCCTGTGGCGCCATACTTTATTCGGTCAAAGCCAGAAATCACCTGGCATGGGTTACAATACGACGAAGAGTTCATCATAGCCATCATAGATGTCGGGTTTGGAACTCTCAACTATCTTCTGACGGGTTTTCCCCGTCAACCTATGGTAAGCCGCAGGATTTGTGACTCAGGAGCTTTTTAGAAAAAAAAAGCAATTAAAAAATCACTTTCAGGTGCTGCACGATTACGAGCCATCGGAGAACTTCGCCCAGAGCCGAATCCGATGGTGGTGGCTGTGTTTCGCAGATCAAAAGGATCATCGCTGAAAATGGGGCGAGCCGACGACTTTGATATTTCGAAGTTCATGCTCGACAACGACCTGGCTGACGGTCAGTTTTCTAGCTATTATAGCAACAGGGCGGGTAAGGATCAGGGTGATTAACGGTCGACCTCGACTA